CCCCCCCCCCCCCCCCCCCCCCCCCGCCCTACCACTTCTGCGACGTCCCCGTGGCAACCGCGATGGTCTCAGGACAATGTTCTTCACGGGCACACGCCGTGGATCGTCATCCTGGTGCGCAAGATGGACGAGTGGAAGGCTGCCCACAGGGGCTCGCTGCCAAGCTTTCTAGAGAGAAAGGAGTTCCAACAGAGGTAGTGGGTGCTGGCCGTGTGTGATTTTGTTTTTGCTTGCATCGACCGCGCTAACGTGCCGACCTAACGCGACATGACATTCTCGTCCGGAATAGCTGAAAACGTGGCACGTGTGCAGTGGTCACTCGTAACCGCCTGTAAGGGACACAAGAGTATACGGAAACCCCCCCGCTACTAAAGGCGCCGTTTTTTTCAGCAGCATGGTCCCCCGCAGACTGTAATAGCACTACCAGGGGGGGTACGATTGTAGGGGCACTCGCTGATTGTTTTCGCAGTTTGAAATGCCATCTACCAGGTATTGTTCATGGGCGTTGCTTTTATTTATTTATTTGCGATGTTGGGGACGTCATGTCGCGTACGTCTCTACCCATAACCAGCTACAGCACCGCAGTTCTATCGCAGCAGCAACCCCGCAGTGATCGAGTATTTCAAGTATTTTTCTCGCCGCCGTCAAAATCGCGTGGCGCCGCCGCAAAATAACACGCCAGCCTGAAAGCAGCATCGCGGAACTACCAAAAGGAGCTCAACTACCAGGAGGCTTTTAAAGAGTCGTACGTGGCGTACACACCGCCCGGCCTCCCCGGAGAGGTTGAAACCCTTCTGGCCTCAGCGGAGGTGAGTCTCGCTATGTAGCCGAGGTTTTCGTGACTATCTACTGTGGGAGGACGTTGCGGGGCGTTGGAATGGGTATGATCATTGGGTGTAGCTCGTGGTCGTGATCATCAACCCGATCATAATCGGGCGAGGGGGAGACCGTTCTGACCTCTGCGGGGGTCGAGTCCCGCTAGCCGAGGTTTCGCCGCGATTCATTGAACTGTGTTGGCAATCAAGGCGACAGACGGGTGGATGAAGGCAGACACATACCCACGGGATGGGCTTTTTTTATTGCTGTGTCGTCTGTCGTTCCAGGAAAATGGGGCATGCCCCCCCCCCCCCCCCCCCCCCCCCCCCCCCCCCCCCCCCCCCCCCCNTGTCGTTCCAGGAAAATGGGGCATGCCCCCCCCCCCCTCCCCCCCTCACCCGGTCCACGCTGTGCCTGTTTCGCGACGAAGAGCCTGTTGCTTTTGACTGGGTGCTTTGATTTACGTTTTTTTGTGTGTTCGTTTTTTTATTCCTCACGTCGAATCAATACGACCGACACAAGGTAGTGCCGCTCAAGGGGATGTGGGAAGGCATTAGCGCTAGTCTCTTGACGCGTGCCGCGTGCCTACTGCCCCCGCCCCCCCGCCCCCCTTGCCCCCC